CAGTGTCGCCCTGCCTGTCTCTGTGAAAGACTTTCATGTAGAAATCAAATCACGGCACACACAAAGAAACTAACAGAACAAACATACTGAGATCAAAATTCTAAACGTTTAGTTTATTTATAACATGATGTAGTTAAGTAACATACCATGACAAAGGAGCTATTTTCCCGAATATTTTCCCGATTGCAAATGTTACATTGATTTTAGTTTAACAAAACAAGTTACTTAGATTTTAGACACAATATTGACTGTTTTGTTCTATTTCACCAACGAAAAGAGTTCCAACCAAAGACCAGAACAGAAGTATTGCACATTCTCCAAGCAACTTTGTTACTGAATGATTTAAGGTTTTGAACGAATCAGTTGAATGAATACTTATTAAATCATTTGAGGTAAGAGGTGGGCGGAATTCAGAGGGTGACATGTTGAAAATTACAGAGCTCCAGGTCTGAACGAATGAGGTAAACCCAAACAAGAATGTGTGTGCTGTAGCAGTAGCACAATCATTTGAATTATGCAGTAAATTCAGGTGACTTACCGCCACCTACTGCCGGTTTAGTCTCATGTTTAAAAGAATGCATTTTTCCCCAACATTTCTTATGTGTATTCAAAACTTTATTTAAAACATTAGTCTCACCAGCCTCCTAGCTAATATTTATTGCAGTTGTAATTTTGCAGTGTAAATTTAATTTGATTGGTAACATCCCTTTAGTGTATATATTGAATTTCTTGATCAATTGTAAGAATTTGACATGAAAGATGATGCATACAGCATTAATAAGGTTAAAAAAATATTGGCCTTTATGAAGGTAAATAACATTCTATATTAAAAAACATGCAGATTTAAGTGTGTAAAAGCTGATAGAACACTGATGAAAATATTGCTTCTGAATAAATTTTACACCACCAAAAATCTCGGTGATGTAGTGCTTTTGTGAGGATATTTTGTATGGGATATTGTTTGCTGATATGAAAAGTTCACTATATATCGTAATAAATAGCATTTTTGTCAGCGATATTTTGTTTTCTTTTTACATTAAACGCATTAAATATTACATATGTAATACAATGTATATTTCCATCACAGGTTTGGTCTTAAATTTCACAAGGTAGTATTAAAAAGTCTTAAATTGAACTTGTTTATATCTGTAGACACATATCTGTCTTTTAAAAGGGGTGCCTAAACTTTTGCATAAAACTGTATACAGAATGCTGGTTTGCCTTTTTTGTCTGCAACAAAATGAAACCATTTTGCTAACAATGAAAGTGATTTGTCTTCACCATTGGTTGAATTTTATTGTGTTAATTCAAAAATCTGTTAATTCACAAAATCTGTTTGCAGTTAAGAATTGTGTATATGAAATCATGTACCAACTACGTTTCTCTAGCCTAAATGCATGTGGCTTATTTACAAAATGCACGCTTAAGAGCATGCTGACAGCTGCATGACATTTCAGTTGGATGTTCTGTAGCTGATTTTTTTTTTTTTTCTGCACCAGACATACTGCCAAATTTTTTTTTGCAGAACTCTAAATGCCTATCAATATTTATTTTAGCACTCAAGTCTTTTTTTAATTGTTTAGT